GCACCACATGCCAGCCAGCCCCACCCCCTGGTGGGCTGAGCTGGACACACACACACACACACACACACACACACACACACACAAATAAATAAATTTTTAAAAAAATTACCCCCCAGAAATTATGGAATCAGTAACAATCCTGAACACCTATTGTCTTAGTTACTGTTCTCTCATTGCTGGGATAAATACCCTACACTCAAAATGAAGGAAGGAAAGGTTTATTTAGCTCACAGTTACTGGAGATTTCAGTCCATACTCAGCTGAGTCCAACACAGAGCAGCACATAGCAGAAAGCAAACTTGCATGGCAGTGGCAAAGAGCAAGAGCGCAAGGGAGGGGTAGCAGCAGCTCAAGCAGCTGGCTTCTCTTCCCACCTTATATTGTAATGCAAATTACCTGCCCCAGGGCAGGGGCAGCATCCACACCCACAATAATCAATCACAAACTCCAGAAGCCACCCCAAGACTGCATGAGGCTTTGCAGGGACACCTAGACACAAACCATAACACAAAAGAAGTTTTCAATCTTGGCCAAGGATAGGAGAATAAATGTCTCAGCTTCTTGAGAGAGGTAAAAGAAATGAAGGTGAGAGATAGGTTAATAAAGAAGGCACAACAACCCTGTCTTTTCTGAGGATTTAGGTGCCATGTCTTTCGGCTCCTTTTTTGGTTCTTGGTGATCATTGTCATGACAATTGCCACTGTTATAGTGATGGGGAGTGTGCAGGGAGATTATAATGAGTTAGAGGTTGTTTGTCTTTCACTCTCTGAGTGATGCAGCCAGCTTCAGGTAACACTCTGAGAAGGAACGTCCAGCTAATAGGCGTCCTGTCCCAAAGATAAGTAAGATTAGAATGGGGCAGAAATTGAGCTACGTCAAATAGGTAGTACCAGATTTGGACAGAATAATATTATTTTATTTTTAGTAATCTCATTTACTAATGATGAGACTGATGATTTATAATTTAAAATATTCAACGTGTGTTCTTAAGGAGTATGTTTCCAATACAGGGCATCAACTTCTATACATATATATTTTGATTGAAGTTTTAAAATCTTCTTTGCACCATTTATTCAGTTTATATGTTAATGATTAAGAAATTGGACTTCCTCATCATTGTAATATATTTACTATTTTTCTCTGAAGTTCTAGTAATCTCTTTTTAGTATATTTCCAGTCTCTTGCAGAATGCACTAAAATTAAAAATGATATTTCTTCTTAGTAGATTGGATTTTGTGATTGTATGGTAATATTCCCTATCCCTAATAATGCTTTTTCTACTAAAGTCTAGATTTTGTATCTTAATCTGGTATAACAAACTGCCTTTAACTGGTGAGTTTAGCCCTTTTATATTTCTTTTGATCACTAATATATCTAGATGTGTTTCTGCCTCTTTTTGCTTTCAGTTTTTGATGCCACTTTATGCATTCAGTTTTTTTTTCATTTAATGTATCATTTTTCTTCCTCCCTTTTAAAAGTTTGAAGTGTGGTAGATTCATGTAATATTTGCTATCTAACCCATTTTAACATATACAGTTTAGTAGTATTACATACATGCATATTGATGTACAGCCAATCTCCACAGTTCTTTTTATTTTACAAAATAACTTAAGTTCTTGTTTCCTTGTTAAGATTTTTCTTTCTAGATATATGGTAGTTATTTATAAATTTTACCTTGTATGTTAACAGAATGTAAATTTAATATGCTAAACTACTTCCTCCCTGCAGTCCAAGGACTTTTAATTCTGTTACCTCTTACCAATTTATATGCTGTTTTTGACAAATATTTTAATAGTTATATGCTTTTATTGTACAAATCAGATATTTTAATAGTCATATATTATATACATTTCTTCATGTTCACATTCAAGTTTATCAGCTTCTCATTCATTCATCTTGCATTAGACCTTTCTTTTAAAAGCACTGTTCTTTTTCCTGATGTAAAGCTGTAGAAATCTCTTTAGTACAAATGTGATTGTGGCGAGCTCTGTCATGTTTTTATGTGAAACCTAGTAGTTGAGAAAGAATTTTTCTGTGTTCAAATTGTTAATCTCTTTGAAAGTATTTTGCACTATTTCTAGTTCTGTTATTTATGCTTGTTCTGGGTTGTCTTTTTTTTTTTTTTTTTTAAAGAAGAGTTTCCCTGTTTTTTTCTCCTGATTTCTTTAAGGTATTTCATTTGTCTGGCATTACCTGGTTTCATTTCTTGAACTTTGTGGCTTTGAGTTTCTTTCTCTTCATAAATAAAGAGCTTTCTATATTGGTAGATTCATGTTTTTACTTGTAGTACTTTTTTTTCATTTCTAAATGTCCTATAGAGTTCATTTATAAAAATCTGCTTGATCATTTTTAATAGTCTTTTGTTTTCCCACTTCTATAGTTTCTGGGTTTATTACTTCAAACGTTTCATACATAACAATTTTATGTTGATATATGATCATTTTAATGCCCAGATACTTTTGGTGTTTGTTTTGTTCATTGTTTGACTATGATGGTTTGTTCTCTAGGCATTTGGGGATCTGTTTCTGTGAGCTCATATTTGTTTGCTCTTAATGTGTGAAAAACTAAAATTTCCTTGAAGTTCTTCCCCCACAAAATCTGCATTTTCTTTTGCCAGGGAGCAAGTAGTTGTGCTGATCCTAGTCTGCTGGGGCCACTCTGAATCCCAGAGTCTCAGCCTTACTTTTTACCTTCTTACTTAGTCTCCACATTAAGAGCAACTCTTGTGGATTGTTTATCATTATTTGTAATTATCCACCATATATATATATATATATATATATATTCTCAAAATATTTATTAAATTTCACCAAATCTTTATTTTAACCACCATATCTTATATTCCTGTCCTTTCTACCCACTTGAGGAAGCCTAGTTAAATCAGCAGCTCTTTTGAGTTTATCATGTTAGCATAGAAATTGAGAATATACACAGGACACCATAGCCTTATTATGTGTTTACAAGTAGTTCATTTCCTTTCATTTTTGTCCTGAAGTGAATAATTTTGGCTTTCCTTGAGTTAAAAATAGTTACTTTGATGGCCAAATTTGGTCTCTAGGTTGCAGAATTGGTAACTTATATTCTCTTTACAAAACTGTAGGAACTAGTCCAGGCTAGTGAGCGATTAAAAAACCAATCCAAAGAGCTGAAAGACGCACACTGTCAGAGGAAACTGGCCATGCAGGAATTCATGGAGATCAATGAGCGACTAACAGAATTGCACACCCAAAAACAGAAACTTGCTCGCCACGTCCGAGATAAGGAAGAAGAGGTGGACCTGGTGATGCAAAAAGTTGAAAGCTTAAGGCAAGAACTGCGCAGAACAGAAAGAGCCAAAAAAGAGGTTAGTAGTCAGGCAAATTATGTAGTGCCCCTTGAGTAGTGGTTAAAGTTGCTTTTTGAGACTAGTGAAATAATATATCTTCTTTAATTTTAGAAAACAGTTATTGTACAGTTTGTTAATATGAATTTCAACATTCAAGTTATGTTCCTATTAACATATAAATTCCCATAGGGAAATATTTTGTTTGAAAAATTATAACTGATATCTTTTTTGTTTTTATTTTATTTTAAAGCTGGAAGTTCATACTGAAGCTCTAGTTGCTGAATCATCTAAAGATAAGAAACTACGAGAGCAGAGCGAGTATTATTCTAAGCAATTGGAAAATGAATTGGAAGGACTGAAGGTACATTTTGATTTCACATTTGTGATTTTTTTCTTCTTTTGAGACAGAGTCTCATGAAGTGTTATAGGCTGGTCTTGAACTTGCTTATGTAACCCAGGCAGGCCTCAAACTCACAGTGATTTTCCTGCCTCAGCCTCCTGAGTTCTGTGGTTATCGGCATTCACCACTATGCCTTGATCCATTTATGATTCTTTTCTTCTTTTTAGGTTTGATAGTGTTCTCTTATGTGCTTTTTGGTGTAGATTATAAAGAACCTGTGCTTTAAACCTCATATGCTTCTTATTCTTACAGTAGGAAGCTGGTATAGCTATTCTTAGTAATGGGGAGGAAAGGGAATACTATGTTTTGTATTAATACTACCTGAATAACATGCACTGGTAATGTCCACGTGAGTTGTGATAACACATGTTAACTGTCGCCCCCTCCCCCAGTCTGTCATAGAAATACTCAGGAGAGACTCAGACAGCTTGCAAACACTTGTGTTAGTTGGGATGAAATGATAACACAAGCTAACACATTTTAGCAGAAGTTTCTGTGCAAGGAAAATTCTTGTACCGTTTCTCAATCAGACTCTTAGTTTTAACTTCTAGTTTCACCGATCACTAGCTGTGTAACACTGAAGCAAACACTTACTCTATCTTCTAATTTTTTTCCATTTAGAAAAAAAATCTTATTTATTTATTTATTTATTTATTTATTTATTTATTTATTTGGTACAAGGTCTCACTACACAGCTCGGACTTGTAGTGATCCTCCAGTCTTAGCCTCCCTGCACTGGGATTATAGATGTGCGCCACCATGCCCAGTCTTGGTGGCTGGCGTGGTGTGTGGTACCATGGATTGAACCCTGGTCCTTGCACTTAACGAGCAGGCCCTTAGACTGCTGAGCTATCTCTCCAGCTGTATTCTCCAGTTTTCTCATCCATAAAAACCTCTTTCATGTCAGAAGTTGTTATGGCTTATATATATTTTCACCCCCAAAGCCTCCTGCAGCCATTGAGGCATAGTTCTACATTTTTTGATTAATTCATGATATACAGCTGGGGTAATGGGTCTGAGTACTGCTGGGATTGTGGGTGTGAGTGCTACACCCAGCCTGGGGCAGATAGCGTGAATGTAACATAAGAGACAGAGAGACAGACTTGTTCTCTGTAGCCACTGTTGCTGTTACTCCTCCCTTTTGCTCTTGCTGGTTTGCTGACGTCCACCACCATGAACTGCTGCCCTCTGCCATGTGCCATACTGCTTTGGAGCCAGCCGAGTATGGACTAACGCCTCCATCAAACTGTGAGCTAAATAAACCTTTCCTTCCTTCATTTTGAGTGTTGGGTATTTGTCCTAGTAATGAGAAAAGAGTAACGAGACAGGAGTCCATACATATACTTAAAAGCTGATATCCCACAAGTGCACAGTAAGATTAGTATAGTGATAGTATGATGTATGTCAATAAAAATATTTGAATCAATTTGAATATTATCACATGAAGTCCAGGTGCTCCTGAGCTTCTTTAGAATTCTGTTAGTAGCTATAGCATAACTCTTACTAATGACTTGTTCACACTTTCTCCTCACCTAACTGTGACATTGCTTATTGAAAGCACAGATAGATATATTATTAACCTGTTCTTGGTGCTGGGCCAGATATTTAATACTTATTTAATAACCATGTTAAATCAGTGACTGAATCATGTGGAAGGAATGAAGTCCAACTTACTATATTTTTGACAATTAAATATCAGTGTCCATAAGTAATGTTCCTCCTCTGTTACAAATAGAAATATAAACTCTAGATTTTATTTCTTATTTTTGTTTTGAGATTTATTTGTTTTAGATCATAAAATCAGTCTTGGTTAGCTTTACAAATTAAAACTCTGTATATAGAGTGTGATTTATGCTTTTGTGAGTATTTTTAGTTACATTGTTATGGCTAAATCAATTTAAAGTGTTGTTTATTTTTACTTTGAAAATGAGCCTTGGGCCGGGGAGATGGCTCAGTGGAATAAGTGCTTCCCTGAAAATGAGCCTGAAGTTACAGGTACCAGATCTAGTGAATAAGGTTTGATGAAGACATACTATAATGTTTTTATGAGCCTGCTTTTTCATTGGCTGGTACTTGACAACAGTATTCATCACAGTTTTTAAAATCACATCTCATTAAGGCACTTACAAAAGAGGATTGCCAGAACTTCTCTGGAAAGTAGTAAGAATAATTGGGTGAGCTGGGTATGGTGGTGCACACCTATAATCCCAGCACTTGGGAACTGAGACAAGAGTATAGTCAAGAGTTCAAGGCCAGGCTGGTCTACATAGTGAGTTCAAGTTCAGCTTGAACTGCTTAGCAAGACCCTGTCTAAAACAAACAAACAAGATAAAACCACCAAAATGATTGGGTAAATGTTTTCCACACGAGGGAAGTATTTTGAGGGAAGTTATTGGCAATGTGTTTTTACTATAATTAATTTTAAAACTTCAAGCATTTATCCTCTTATATTAGTATGTTTGTGATACATAGCAAATATATTCTACATTATTTTTTGATCATTTCATGTACATCTATCTATGTGGAGCAGAATTAGAATAGAGAAGTAATTACTATCAGAGATGCTTTTCATTCAGGGTCTGCTTTGTTGCCAGCATTGCTCTGGGTAATTTGAATAATAAAAAAGGAAGAACCATTAAGAAAAATAAAGTGTAAAATACACACTAGAGGAAATCTTAGGCATTGTTTGCATTTGAGAAATTGAAGCCCAGAAGAGTAAAGAATTTTGTAGTCATAAGTAATAGAATATAATCTAAACCTAGGTTTTCTAACTTTGAGTGCCATGTTCTAACTAGTGGTTTGCTTTATTTTTTTCCATAATAAGCACTGTTGTACCATACTCTATACCACATATATTTACCTACTTGTCCACTCATAAATTTGAGATAGTAGTTGAGTTACCAAGTAAATAATGGCTATTAGGCTATTTTGAAAAGTGGGGCTTCTTGGGAAAGAAATAATATAAATATAATTTTAAAAGATATTGTGGCTCTATTTTTTCTTTAGTTTTGTTTGTTGTTGTTGTTGTTGTTGTTGTGTGGAGTCTCACTATGTGGCTCTTTTAAAGATGAATATTTATCCCATTAAGAATATTTTTCGGATTTTGTGCAGGCAAAGCATCCCTGGCCACTAGGTGTCAGTGGTGTACCCCCCTCCAAAGTTGTACAACCCAATAAATATTTTTTTTCAAAGTTTTATTGATAAACAGATAGCAATGAGACAGTTTCAAATCAAATCGGAAGTACAGTTTCAATAAATAATACACTGCATATATTCTTCTTAGTGGTTAATTGCTGTACAAGAAGTGGACTTGTGATCCTATTTACAAACACCATTAGAACAAATCATTCTATTCATTAAGAGAATGCAACTATATATCTGTCCTAATCACTTTGAATACACAGATACAAAATGGACATTCATCGGTGTACCCCATTTTTTCTAAGTTCCGTTATTGACCAATAAATATTTTAAAATAAAAAAAAAAAAAAGAATATTTTTCGGGGGTTGGAGAGTAGCTCAGCAGTCTTAAGCACCTGCCTGGCAAGCACAAGGACCCCAGATTTGATCCCTGGCACCACATACCACACTGTGCCACTGAAACAGAGCGTGGTAGTCTAATACCTTTAATCCCAGTGCTGGGGAGGCTGAAAATAGGGTCACTACGACTCCAAGTTGCATAGTGAGACCATGTACCAAATACATTAAAAAAAAAAAAGACCTGAATATCCTATTGATATTTTGTCTATAATCAACCAGACTTGATAAAATGTAGTGGCATCTACCCAAAAACAGCAGAACTTTTCAAGTGCATATAGCAAATTCTCCAGGATTGACCATATATTAGTCATAGAGTAAGTCTTGGTATATGTAAAAAGATTGAAATCATACAAAGTATCTTCTCCAGCCACAACAGAATGAAGCAGGAAATCAATAGAAAAAGAAAATTAGAAAATGCTTATATGAAAACAACAGTATGCAATGTATTCATTATTTTAATGCCCTACAACCTGTCTTGAAACTGTTTCATCACTGTTTTATCTTTTTTTTTATTCAAATGAATAAAAATTATAATAAGAAAATGCTTAGAGAAGAATAAAAACAAAAACACAATATATCAGAACTTATAGGGTACAGAAAAGGTAGTACTGTATGGGAAGTTTATAGCTGTAAATACTATATTAAAAAGGAAGAGGGCTGGGCAGATAGCTTATTGGCCTAAGTGCCTGCCTGGCAAGTGCAGGGTCCCGAGTTTGATACCTGATCCTGCATGCAATGCTGGCCCAGAACCCCCAGCACGCTGTGAGGTCCTGAAACCGAGCGTGATGGCACATGCCGGTAACCCCAGCTCTGGGGAGGCTAAGACAGGAGGCTTACTATGAGTCTGAACTGCATCGTGAGACCATGAATCAAAAAATGATAATTCGTTGTAAAATGCGTAATTTTTTTTTTCACATTCTATAGGGATTTAAAGTTTAGAATATCCATAGTTGTTGGAAAATAGCAGTTCCACATTAGGTCTAAGGTGTTTGATATTCAGACAGATAGGGATGTTGAGCCCAACTGCCTCTTAAGCTTCTCTTCTGGATGTTTAACAACTAAAGTTTACAGACCAAAAATTAGAGAAATAGAGGGGCTATACAGATAGTCAGTATTTTGGCCCTAGCCCTTCAAGATCAGTGAGGATTCAGGACAAAAGAGAACCTGTGCTGTGACATCCTGTAGCTCAGTGTGTCCCAGATTTTCTGATCAAGGAGATTATGGGACCACAGAGGAAAGTGATTGACAATGTAGAATGTGCTTGAGGAGAGTTAACTAGAGAGAATGCATTCTCTCGGGCTTTCACAGAGAGCAGATTAGCCAAGCTATGCTGTGACTCATCCAGATGGCTGACACTGACAAAAGATCTACAAGCTGCTGTACATAGTTTCAGGGTAAATCCTGAGGGGATTTGACTGACC